ATTACAAGTAACGCGAGTTATGTAATCAGATTACTTTTTCTAGTAACTAGTAAAGTAACGCATTACTTTTTAATTTACAAGAGAATATCTGAGTTACTTTTTCAAATAAGTAACGCAAGTTACTTTTTTTTTTTTTATATTGATTGACAGCTTTCTGGTGTTGCCATGGTGACAGAAATCAAAAATGTTACTGTAGTTCAAAATAAATAAGAATATGCATAAATTCATCTCACACAAAAAAAACACATATTCAGTATTCCTCAAAATGAATAAAAATAATGCAACTCAGAATATGACGCAAACCCGCAATAATTAAATGCTAAACAACACAAATATGCTTTGTGTATTTAATCCCATTCTATTAACCAATGTCTTTGCTTCTGACCTTTGATGATCCAGTTCAACCGTACTAATAAGCAAAAATTACTCTAGACAAACATTTGTGTCTCTTTTTATTGCTGAAGTGTGTTGAAATGTCTTCTTCTGCATTCTACTGTACGGACGTAAATGTACTTTCCCTTCAGCCGGAGGCTTATTCATTTTACTTCTGGTGCGAAAAGGCCAAAAATAGAACTTTTTTTATTTTAAAAACAAGCAAGCCCTGTCCAGATTTAAAAAGTAACGCAAAAGTAACGTAACGCATTACTTTCCATAAAAAGTAACTAAGTAACGTAATTAGTTACTTTTTTATGGAGTAACGCAATATTGTAATGCATTACTTTTAAAAGTAACTTTCCCCAACACTGGTTATTATATTGTCTGTTAGCTTATAGAATGAAGAGTTACTTAATTAAATGTTCTCCTTTTTTGTATGTAGACGGCAACATTGCGACCCTACCTGAATGCAGTGCGCGCCACTCTTCAAGCAGCCCTGTGTCTGGAGAACTTCTCCTCTCAGGTGGTGGAGAGACACAACAAGCCTGAGGTGGAAGTTAGGTGAGGAAATCACATCCTTCATATGTGTTATATATGATGTATTTTAATAGCTATATACATATATGATCAACGTTTGTCTTTCAATACAGGAGCAGCAAAGAGCTTCTGTTGCAGCCTGTGGTCATAAGCCGCAATGAGAAGGAGAAGGTCATGATTGAGGGGTCCATAAACTCAGTGAGGGTCAGCATCGCTGTCAAACAGGTAAGAAATTCAAGATGAACTGCACAAGATCGATGTGTTTTTCATTCGGTCGTCTTCTAAAGATATGAATGGTTTTCTTAGGCTGATGAGATTGAGAAGATCCTGTGCCATAAATTTATGAGGTTCATGATGATGCGAGCAGAGAACTTCTTCATCCTTCGGAGGAAACCTGTTGAGGTGGGCTCCTTTGTGAAGAACAAACAAGGGATGAAGAAATATGTGATTCATTAAAACACGCGTGCATTAGTGATGGGAGAAACAAAGTTTTTCCAAAACTGTAAATCAATTGAACCAATTGCTTTGCGAAATGATTCACATTTGAAACACCACACACTGGTCAGAATAGTGTAAATGCCAATGGAAACACAACCAAAACATACCTTTTACGAACCAAATACAAATGTTTTATTAAAAGTGTAATCATCTAAATGCAAGTAACAAATTATCTAATACCATTAAATAATAAGGGTCTGTGTAATGTGTTATTTTATTCATTTGTAGTGCTTGTTTTGTTTGTTTTATTGAGAGCTTGGTTAATTAGGCTAATTGGAGACTGATCACTACAACTCTTCCTTTTTATTATACAAATGTGTCATACAAATTACAGTCATGATGTAACAAAGCCTCATGTACTGAAATCATGCGACTTTGGCAGTTTGGTGCATGCTTCACTTGTTCAAATAAAAAAAAAATGATTTG